AGAGATCCGCCTGGCTCTGCCTCCCGAGTGCTGGGATTAAAGGCGTGCGCCACCACCGCCCGGCCAAAAACTTAAAATCTACATTTGGAGCTACTTATTCAGATAAGTTTTTTTGTTTAGTTTCTTTCCCCAGAAGATGAAAAATGAATGAAATCGTCCTTATTCAGCTCGACTTTCATGTTTATAATCTATTAAATGGCATTCTTAGTTAGCAGCTCCCTTGTGTATCCAGAATGTATTGTAAAATACATTCGCATATATACTTTATATATATTTGTATACATATGCCTAACTATGTGCTTCCTTGTTAAGATGGCTAAGTTCAAAATAGTGGCATTGAAAACATGTTATAAAAATGACAAGAAAATGAACAGAGACTTTGTCACGAGGTACTGTCACAAACAAATATGTATAGAAAGGCTTTTCTCTGATAAAAATTTTGTTAGGCAAATGCCACCAAACAGAAGGAAACTGTTAAATGAGGTTTTGGCCCTTCTCAGTCTAGAGCTTCAGATAATCAGCTCAGTGATATTTCGTTCCTACAATATCCTAATATTTCATTTTAGCAAAGTCCAGAGGAACAGGAAACAGGAATAGAAGTCATTAGGAATGTTGAGTTCTACCCAGCTGTCCCTTGTTTTCCATTACTTAAGTATAATGGCCCTTAGAGAGTAAAGTAGGGTAACTGGGAATCTTTGATATTTTGTTCATTTCTCTCAGGTAAAGGAATTTATTCAAGGAAACTATAGTTATAAGTAATTGGATAAAGGCTTGCTTTTATTTCAGTTCAATTCAATATATAACCTTTTATTTTTTGTAGTATTTTCTCTCTTTCGTTTGCTTGTTGTCAAACTGGTGAACACGTCACCCATCCAAGTCCCTCAGATATTAATCAGATAGACTTGAGATGTGACTAGGTCACCAACCCCCTACTTTTGTGTGTGTGTTTTTTAATGAGTCTAGTTTGAAACTTAGTACAGAGTAAGATAAACGTATTTTCTCTATTAGAAACCTTCTCATCCCTAGTTCTATAGCCTTAGGCAAGTTCACAGTGCCTCTCAGCCACATCTAAAAGATAACACATTTCCTAAGATTATAATGGGTATTGAGTGGACTGATCTGTGGAACAGTAGTTTTGGTAATACTTGGTCGAGAAGTGACATTAGATAGACTAGGCACCCTCCTCATTACACATGAAACTTGAAAGTCTGGCCCTTGTTCACCTTGATAAGACTAAATTTTTATATACTTGGATTCCTGTCCTCCAACCATATTAGGTTACTTACTAACAAGAATGTCTTTGAGGCTTCCATGCCTATATATTCATAATCTTCTATCCTTAAAATTTCTTTACTAACTGGCTCTTAGTAATATTTCCCCATTAAAACTGTGCACTTGGGGGACTGGAGAGATGGCTCCGCAATTAAGAGCATTGGCTACTTTTCCAGAGGACAAGGGTTCAGTTCCCAGCACCCACATGGCAGCTCACAACTGTCTGTAACTCCAGTTCCAGGAGATCTGACACCTTTACACCAATGCTCATAAAATAAAGTTAAATAAATTAAAAAAAAACAAAACTGCACTTGGCACAGTTCAGCATTCTGACCTTTCTACATCTATTTCCTACTTACATACTCTGTCACTGAAAAGCATTTATTATAACAAAAGGAATATTTGCTGTATAGGATGAGCATGGTACCTCATACCTGTAACTGCAGCACTTGTGAGGTAGAAGCAGAAAAATGAGGAGTCTAACACTAACCTTGACTACATAGGAAGTTTGAGGTGAACCTGGACTATATGAAACCCTATCTCCAGGGTAGCAGTTTCTTTTTTACCCCTTTTGGTTTTTAAAATTATTTATTTTTTTTTGCTTGTTTTTGAGATTATATTATAATTACAACATTGCCCCCTTCCCCTTCTTCCCTCTAAACTCCTATATATCCGCCCTACTCTCCTTCAGATTCATGACCTCTCTTTTTCATCAGTTGTTACTGCATATGTGTGTGTGTGTGTGTGTGTGTGTGTGTGTGTGTGTGTGTATACATACATACATATTTCCAAATATAACCTATTGAGTCCATATAGTGTTACCTATATGTATGTTTTAGGGGCTGACTATTTGGCATTAGAGAACCAATTTGTGTGCTCTTCCCTTGGAGAGGGCCACCTCTTCTGCTCCCAACTTTACTCAATTGCCTGTAGTTTTGGTGTAGGGCTGAGGCCTCGTGGACTTTAACTTACGTTTGAGAGTTCATGTTGGTGAGATCTTACAGGTTGAGTTTCCATTGTTAGTAGGAGACATACAGCAGAGTGGGTAGGGGTTCTTACAAGCAAACATGAATGTGAATTGTGATAGTCTCTAACAAAATCTGTGAGCTTGAATAGTTTTTTAGTTTTTTAAAAAATAATTTTGCCGGGGCTGGAGAGATGGCTCAGCTTCCAGAGGTCCTGAGTTCAATTCCCAGCAACTACATGGTAGCTCACAACCTCCTGTAATGAGATCTAGTGCCCTCTTCTGACCTGCAGGGATCCATGCAGGCAGAACACTGTATACATAATAAATAAATATTTAAAATAATAATAATAATTTTACCTCCCTTTTTGTGATACCCTTTTATTTTTATTTTTTATAAAGAGTTTTAATGTCATTAGAAAATATATAAGAAAAATAAGCTAGCAAAATAGAACTGGATCTGATATAATTTCAGTTATAACACTGAGATATGGGAGTAAACAAAAGGTTGATTGTGGTAATTGTTACGTGGTAAGGCTCTGGGCAATTGATTATTATCTTTTCCTTTTTTAAATATGTTTGATTTTTAATCTAAAACTATTACTACCATTAGGATGCTTTTTATTGTATAATTTCCTTTGTATTTTAATATTTTTTTTCAATCTTCTATTTATTCTCCATGTCTTTCACATCATGTATCTCGACCCATTCATTCCCTGTCCCTTTGCATCTACCCTCTGCCCTTGCAACCTCGTCCCCAAAATAATATAAAATAAAATTTAAGAGAAAAAGAAACAGAAAAATCTTGTTAAGGAAGCTGCAGTGTGACACAGTGAGTCACACAGCAAACCCCTCCATCCATATATCTCTGTATTCAAGTGTTCATTACAAAGGGCCATGGTCTGGTTTGAGGCCTCTGGTTTCTGCTACACCATTGATACTGGGCCCTCACTGGAACTGCTTTTGGTTATCCTGTTGTTGCCCTGTGTTGTGGAGATCCTGCAGCTTTGGGTCTGCAGGATTGGCCCCTTCACATGCGCCAGCAGATCATAAATGGAGTGGAATTTGGGGTGGGCCAACTCATAACCCTGGTTCTGGGTCTAGGTAGTTGCACGGTTGGTCAACCTGCAAGCTCTCCCCTGTCTTCATCACCTGGGTGAGCTCTCCATTGTTGTTCAACTGCTTTCACATTCTCAGACTCGGTTCTCCCACACCTACACCTTTAGGGCCAGCTCTACTAAGTTGCCCAGTCGAGGTGTAGGGGCCACTCTCCCAAGTATTGCAGCTAGTGACAGGCAGGGCCAGCTCTGGCATAGGTGGTGGAGTTTAGGGAACAGTATCTCTGTCCTGCATATGAAGGGTGGACCAGATCTCCCATGCTCACATTCTCAGGGGTGGTTTACCTATTGACTAGGGTCAGCTCTACTCTGCTGCCCAGGGGAGGTGCAGCGTCCACTTTCTCAAGTGCTGCAACTGGTAAGGGGCAGAGCACCACCACATGGCAGATGAGGCAGGTGTGGTGTGGCCAGCTTTCGCACTCTGACACCCACAGGGCTAGCTCACCCATGCCTCTGCCAGCAAGGTCAGCTCTACTATGCTGCCCAGGCAAGGGGCAGGGCCCGCTTTCCTGAGTGCTGCCTCCAGTTAGGGAGAGGGTCAGTAGGCAGTGAGGGGTGAGGAGTAAGGTGGAGGACATCCCTTCCCCTCCCATACCATTACAGGACAGACGAGTAATGGGGACAGCTCTCCCACACTCACAGCTTTGGGGCTGGCTCACCCACAACTCTGGCAACAGGGTTGGTTCTATTGTGCTACCCAGGTGACGTGCAGGGCCTGCTCTCCCGAATGTTACAGCTGGTAATTTTATCTTTCTTCATATATGTATTTAAGGGTTGGGCTATGTGCACATGGAGCCCAGAGTATCCCTAGAGCTGGAGTTACAGGCAGTTGTGAGCCATCTCTCCAGCCTCTTTTTGAGCCTATTACTGTCTAGTGTTGTGGGAAATAAAAGATACAGTGTCTGAGATTGGGACTACGTGACTATGATCTCCTTGCTTGGAAAGCAGAAGGATCAGGACTTCAAGGCCGGTCTTGGCAGCATAACCAGTTTGAAACCAGCCTGGTCTACATGAGACCTTACTTCAGTAGCCCCACCTCCCTAAAATGGAAAAAGAAAAAAGAAAAGAAAAAGCAGGGAAAGGAAAGAAAATTTAGATGAGAAGCACCTATGCAAGGTCCTGACACACAAGCACTCAGTGGATACTGCCTGTTTCTGTTGTGATGTTAGTTCTGTGGGTCTTTCTCCATACTCACCTTGCAGTACTTAGTACAGATTGTAATGTGGGCATCTCACAGATCTTGCTGATTATTTGGTGGGGAAATTAATTAAGTACATAAACAAATAATAAATAGATAAAACATACTTGAAAAGTTATCAAAAGTAATTTAAAAGTTTACATTTGAATGTTGTGTTTTCTTATGTGAAGTCTATGTATGATAATATTTCATTGAAATTAAACATTCAGAAAAGGATAAACTTGAGAATTCTTGTATATTAGAGAAATACTGGCTCTGATATATTTTAAAGTTTAACTTAAAATTTTATCTTCATAATAAAAGGCTAATATACCTTTAGATTCAAAAGGTCATGATTCAGATAATGTGGCTATCATAATCAGAATTCAGCAGTTTATTGGATGTGTGATTGTTTATACAACAAACTTCTAATTTAGTAATAATATTTTGAAATATTTTTTTTTAACAGCAACAGTTCATTGAATTGGATGATAATAGACAGAGATTGTTACAGAAGTGCAAGGAACTTATGAAGAGAGCTAGGCAAGTATGTAACCTGAGTGCAGACCAAGCCGTTCCCCAAGAATTTCAGACAGTAAGTATAAAAATATATAATGCTGCAGTTGCCATAACACACTATTTTTAAGTTTAAGATACCCTACTCTAGGCATAGTAACAGGACATGAAAAACATGAAGTGTCATTTAAAAATACACTTTTCCCCATTCTTACACTGATTATCATATACATAAAGTAACTTTGCTCAACTTACTCCCTCTCAGATTTAGTCACCAGTCTGTGCTTAGTATTAAAATTCTTAAAATATGGGAATTTTCTTAAAATTACAGCATAGCATTCATTTTTACTACTAAAGTAGATCTTTTCCCCCTTGACCATATTTGAGAGGTATAGTTGGCAGCGTGAACTATCCATGGAAAGTACTTATTTGTACTTGACAAACAGTAAGCAGGAGTAATACTTAGAAAAACAAAGACAAAAATGATAGTGTTTCCCTAGAAGTCCTGGTGTTTAATTGGGGCTCATCAGATACTGACTCTTCAGGGCTATCTTTCTTTCGGTTATATGCTGATGGGTCAGAGTCCAACTAAGCAGTGCTGCCTTTTAGTTCACACTCCACCATTCATTCTGTCCCTGTGTCCCTAGACTTTATCTGACATTGGAGCCTTTTCTGTGTACCTACTCAGACTAGTATCAAAAAAGTTACAAATGTAGTTTTAAATAGTATTTATGTACTTTTTAAAATCTTAAATGTATCAACTTTCATAGATTGGTGAAATGTCCACTAAGCATAGAAAAAAACTACTATAGATTGTAGTTGTCAGATCCTGGAAGGTTTTGTTTTATACTGTCAGACACAGAAACGATCATGGATTTGATTGCACCAAATATGGGTACAGAGTAAGAATTCAACAGAAACTTATAAAACTAATTGAGAAGTTTGTTTTTAAAGACTATTATAGAACTTTATTATAGAATTATTATAGATATAGAACACATCTAAAATATGTTTTGTTTTAATAAAATTCGTGTGATATCTGTACTATAAGTTACAGTTTTTATGTGCTGGGTATGGAGGCAGTTGCCTGTAATCCCAGCACTTGGGAGATGGGGCAGGAAGATCCCAAGTTTAGAGTCTACTTGGGCTACATATAGAACTAAACTCTGGGCTCAGCTGTGCCTCCCTACAAGTTATACTGTCTTAAAAGAATAAAATTAGAAAAGAATATATTTGTTAAAGTATATTGATTGGGTGCTATGACCAAATATTAAATAGGACAGACATGCTTCTGAAACTTGAACTCTGGTCTAGAGGATAGAAAAAAACATCAAAAAAATAGGTAAGGTCAGGTGGCCAGAGAGACGGAGGGAAAGTAAAAGCGGTGGATAAAGTAGCAAGGATAGGCCGGTGCTTAAAAATGGTTCCTTGGAGATGATGGTGTTTGAGATAAATGCTGGATGAAGAGAAGAAATCAGTCAAGTGGGGGTGTGAAGCAAAGTCTACCAAGCAGAGAAAACTGATCATACAAAGCCACTGAGGTGCAAATGTATTTATTTGGTATGTGTTAGCACAGAAGGAATCTTGGTGGGATTAAAAATTACATTCCTCAACTGGGCGTGGTAGCACACACCTTTAATCCCAGCACTGGAGAGACAGAAGCAGGTGATCTGTAAGTTCAAGGCCAGCCTGGTCTACAAAGAGAGTTCCAGGACAGCCAGGGCTGCTATACAGAGAAACCCTGTCTTGGAAAAACCCAAAAAAAAGAAAGAAAAAAAAAAATAATAATAATAATTACATTCCAGCCCTGCAGTGGTGGCACATGCCTTTAATCCTAAAATTTGGGAAGTAGAGGCAGGCAGATCTCTTGAGTTTGAGGACACCCAGAGATACACAGAAGAGACTTTGTTTGAAAAAACAAAAACAAGAAATTACATTCCAAGCAGAGAGGAAGGCACTAGCCAGATTAATATGGCCTTATAAAGTATACAAGAGAGTTTGGACATGTTTTTCTCCTTTTAGTTTTAGTGTTAGAGATTAGGCAAGTACTCTACCACTAATATATATCCCCAGCCCTGGTCTCCATTCTCTTTGAGATAGAACCCACTGGAGGATTTTTAACACAAGAATGGCATTATTAAGTTCAGTTTATAGGTGAATACTTTTTAGCTGCTCTATAAAGAATAGATCTATAAGAGGAAACAAGAAAACCACTTTGAGCATTATTATTTTGACCAAGGAAAAGATTAAGGTAGAAGAAGCACAGAGGGACAGAGGATATGAGAGAGGTAAGAAAGAACTCCTAAATGTTTGCCTGGACAAACTGTGAAGCTCTTTACTGATGAGAAGTTGATTTGCTTACAATGGTGGGGGAGGTGGATGAGGTAGAATGTACATTTCACTATCATAAATTTGGTATGCCTGTTAAGAGTCTGGTGAAGATGCCACCAAGTAAGTGTTGGAACTTAAGTTCACACCTCAACAGACAAGTCAAAGATGTAGCACATGTACATAACAAATACCTGGAGGCTTTTGGAGAGACTGGACTATGTTCTAAAAGGTTAAAAAAAGATACAAAGTAAAGCTACCTGATTAATTATATAACTCATCAGAATCTTTTTTTAGGGCTTCAGATTCATTGCAAACCTTTTACTGTAAGGGCTCTGCAGGTTGTGCTAGGCAAAACAGTGTACTGCATGCCTCTCCTTGAAGGAAAGTGTCTATCCTAATGAGTCTCTGTGGCATAGATTCAGAAGATAGTCTTGATGAAATTCTGTCTCAGTGATTGATCTAAGGATGCTTTTGTAGGTCTTCATAAGTACAGTATAAAGTTCTAACTTCTTGCTCTCTTTCAATGCCCCACATATTCTGGACCCATTCTACCAATTCAGCAAGTACCCACCATTCCAAATGGACACAGCTCCTCACCCCCCATGGTATGCAGTACTCATTCTTTTTTCCAAATCGTTTCCTCCTTTTTGCATTGCTTTTCCCTAGCCATTGCTTTGAGACCCAGAGATCAATTATAGGCCTTTGAATTCTTTTAATTTTCATGTAGCATGAACTGACACTTCATTATTTTAAATTCCAAAGCCTATATAATATGTACTGCTTATTTTAGACTCAACATCAATACATTGCCTTAAGGTACTATCCACATGTATACATTTTGTTTTCTTTTAAAGTGTAAGCTTTTTAAAGGCAAAATACCCTGTTTAAGATTCCTTTGTATTGCTGTGTGCTAGCATGCTATTAATCAGAGAGTAGATATATAGCAAATTACTTTCTTTTAACTATACTAATAAAAATTTTCACTATTCCATTTTTAACGATAGACTTTTATTTTCCTTTAGGCTTTTCAAGATCTTCCAAACACATTGGATGAAATTGATGCATTATTAACTGAAGAAAGATCAAGAGCTTCCTGCTTCACAGGACTGAATCCTACAGTATGCCTCTTTCTCTGTTTCCATCCAGCAGCTCTCACACTGCCGCCTTCCCCAGTACACACATGCACATGTGCACACACGCACGGGGACGGACACACACACACACACACACACACACACACACACACACACACACAGCTCTCTCCAGTACTTGCCTCCCACACTGTACTGGAGCTCTGGGTAATAATAAGCTAGACAGCAGGAACAATGCCTTAAATGCCAGATTCTGAATCTATTAGAATTTTAAATAGAGTCTTCCTAAGGAACACAGTGTTCTGTGCCTTTTCTTTATAAAAAGAATAGTTGAGCTGACTTGAAATACAGCAGTGTGTATTTTTTTTAAGGATTAAAAAGTAGCACTTTCAGTGCGCAATAGCATAAATTAATTGCATACAAACAATGCAATGCAATTGACATTTTAGCTAATAGCTTAATTGATGCAAATTTTTATATAATTTTATTCTTTGATAGATTTTTCTTAAAGAACTTTTTTTTTCTACCAGGTGGTTGAGGAATACACAAAAAGAGAGATAGAAATACAGCAACTCACTGAAGAACTAAAGGGGAAGAAGGTTGAACTAGATGAATACAGGGAAAACATTTCACAGGTAATTTTTATCCATTTTCTTACATGTTTACCATTAATGGGATGAGCATATGAATTATATGAAATAAATCTTACACTCCTAAGAGAAAAGATATTTTCATAACCAGATTGACTCTGTTATAAAATTTGTTTTATGTCAGAATGGATAGTAGTGCTTTCAGTTTATGATTTTGTCTTTTATTTGTAGGTGAAAGAAAGGTGGCTGAATCCCTTAAAGGAGCTAGTGGAAAAAATCAATGAGAAGTTCAGCAACTTTTTTAGTTCCATGCAGTGTGCTGGTGAAGTTGATCTTCATACAGAAAATGAGGTAATTGCATTGGGGATGTATTTTATGACCAGTAATTTTAATTATGTGCAAAGGGTACATGTAAACTTACTTATTTTGCAATTATACATGAAATTTTTGCTTACTGAAAAATTGTGAAAAGGAAGGAATAGACCTGTGGCTGGATTGGTGTCTCATTCTCTCCACTGGAAGACTGTCCATCTATGAATTTCTAACATTAGGTTTGCTTGGTTTGGGGGTGGGGATGGTGTTTTGTTAAGTGGCTAATGTCTTTCTCTATTTTTAGCAAGTCTGAATAATGATTATTCAGCTGTGTTGAATGAGTGCGATGCTTTGTAAATCTACCACTGCTCAACTTAAGAGCCATAAACAAATTAGCAAACACAACTGAAATATAGTTTATATCAATGAGGTTGAGTTTGTTTTTTGTTTTGTTTTGCTTGTGTGTGTGTGTGTGTGTGTGTGTGTGTGTGTGTGTGTGTGTGTGTGGTAGTGGTGTTTTCTGATGTTTTTGAGTCAGAGTCTCATAGCCTAGGCTGGCCTAGAACTTGCTATTTAGCCAAAGATGACATTGAATTTTCCTGAACCTCTTGCCTCTACCTCCCAATTAAGATGATAGGCTTCTACTACCATGCTCAGTTTCCTTGGTTTCTTTTTTATCACAAATTTAGAAGATAATAGGAAATATGGTAATTTCTTGAACTATAACTTTATGTATTACTATTTTGGATAAAACATTTTCCTTTAAGAAAATTATGTGAAGAAGGGCTGGAGGTGTAGTGAAGTGATTGTGTATGCTCAGCTGCATGAGGCCCTGGGTTCATTCCCTGGCACTCTAAGCAAGTGAGGAAAGGAAGAAGAAATAACTGATTTTTTTTTTTTTAAATAACTGGGAAGGTGGCATGAATGGAAAGGAGTATAAATGAAGAAAGGCTGGCCATCTTGTGATCTCAGTACAAAGTTTTTGCTGCTGCACTGGGGTCATTTTTGTATTCTCATTTTGTGTGTGTCAAAATGTTTCCAAGGTGAAATTTTTTTTAAATAAAAGTCAAGTTAATAAAGAATATTTTCATATCTTTAAAATTGTGCATTTTAGCAAGTGTGGAAGTTTTCATTCTGTTACATATATAAATAAACAGCACCATTTGTTCCTTCGGGGAGTTTTGCTTCACAGCTCCCCTTTGCTTCGTGTGAAGCATGAAGTACCTTTTCGTTCAGTCCTAGGTTTGAGGTCTTAGTTCCTCCCATAGCAGTTTAGCACATAGTCCTTGGCTTACTGTAACTAAGAAATGTATGTTCAGTACTTAATTTCTGAGACGCTTCCTTTATGCTAGGCACTTCTAAGTTCATCTTGTTTAATTGCTTATAACTATCCTAGGAAGCAGGAACTTATCCATCCTACTGAAAAAACAAACTGAAACTTACCATTATGTTACTGAAGGTCATGTTGCTATCAAGTGGCAAAGAATCAAAACTCCTTATCTAAACCCAGACAGAGCCTTAGCTCTTAGATAAATTTGATTACTGCAAGCATCATCCTGCTCAAAGTAACAACAGGATCTTTATCAGTAGCTTGACTGTGTCAGGTATAAATGTGATCAAGTAAGAAAGTGAGGCTTGTGTCACAGAAATCCCATCCTTCCTATCCTCTTGCATGGTACTTTATCTTGTACTGTTTCTTCTCAGCAGTCTTTGTGTTTTCAATGCCATGCTGGAAAGACTCTCCACATGCCTTTCAGTGTGTTCTCCTGGACCTTCCCTCTTCTTGACCTTTCCCGTTATCTCCTTTCTGTTCTGGCCTCCTGAGTAGTGGGTCCAGAACTGACTTCTTTAACTGGAACCTTGAGTGAGATGGAAGAAGCCAGAATGAGGCAGAAAAAAGCATGATCAATTACAAGAATCAAAAACAAACCTTCAGTAAATCCAATCCTGTGTAGTCAAAAGGGGACATAGTTAATAAATCAGTGTGGAAGAAATATGTTTAAAAGTAATCCTTGGGAATTAAAACTATTACAAATTATTACAGTTCTGTCATTTTTGTTGTTTTGTTTTGTTTTTCGAGACAGGTTTTCTCTGTGTAGCCTTGGCTGTTCTGGAACTAGCTCTATAGTCCAGGCTGGCCTCCAACTCGCTGAGATTTACCTGCCTCTGCTTCCCAAGTGCTGGAATTAAAGTTCTGTCGATTGTTTACTTGGGGGTTTGAAGGGAAAAGTTAAAAGTACTATTTGTACAATTTTAAGGCCTACTTGAATTCTTTGCATTTATGCTCTGTATTGGGTAGCTGTTTGAGCCATGCCCTGAAATAAATTCCTTTTATCATTAAGCTGATTCAGTGGATTGCTAGCGATTTAATCACGTTGGTACTTGAAGGGATTTCTAATTTCTAAAAGGAAGCTCTCGCTTTCTCACCTGGGAAACTGGAACGTAGTAGCAGCAGAGCCAGATCAGAGTCCAAGCTGGTGGCGAGGATCTTGGCAGCACTGGCTGTTACAAAGTATCTTCTGCCGTTTGACTGAGTATTGTTGAAAGAGTGCAGCCAGAACTGTAACCAAAGGTGGCAGCCTGCTTCCAGGGAGGTCTCAAGGAAAACTATTGCCAGCAGCAGTAGTAACTATGGGGTGAGAATCTCCAGGAGAGATGGAGAGATTCAGGTAGTTAGTGTGAGAGTTGACCCAAAGTTTTTCTCCCAGAATATGGAGGCACCACCACATTTAGAAACAACAGGGATTATTTTTTACTTAGAGGTGGTGACATTCTTAAAAAGAATGTGGACTGAAATCACCATTGAGGTGATGTTCCATGAACCTATTGGTTCCACTGACATTCTGAGCTATTCATCCATAAATAACTGCCAAGCCTCCTTTATAATTAACTGATGGCATCTAAAGTGAAAAAATAAATAAAACTTTTTGTTGCTCTTAGACCTCTGCTGTGAATACCTAATACATAAATACAATTTCAAAGATTTAGTATGAAAAATGTAAATTATTCATTGATAACATTTTATATTGTGGTGTTTGAATATATTGGATTAAGTAAAATATACCATTGAAGTTAATTTTACCTACTTTTGTTTTTTTATGTTTTAAAAATGTGACTGTTGAATTGCTTATTTCTTGTATGTCTCTCTTGATTAGATACTTATGTAGACCATTTAACTAGTTAACTTTTAGCTAATGTTAAATGTTTCCCTTTTAAGGTAAATCTGAATCTGAATGAGCTAGTGTAGCTAAGAGAAGAAAATAAACCTCACAGTGGTCTCAGAGTTGGCAAAAGTTATAGAACACCAAATACTCCCCTTTTTATAAAATAAAATTTACATTTGTGTGAGTGCGTACACATGTAGGCACTCAGGAGTTATTAAAATTTTTAGATAGTAATTGCTTAATGTAAGCTTGTTACTTTTGTGATTGATATATCTGATATATTTTCAAATAATTGAGTGAAATAATCAGAGAAAAAAATTATTTCTCAACTTTCTGTGTTTTACAGGAAGACTATGATAAATATGGAATCCGAATTAGAGTAAAATTTCGAAGTAGTACTCAGCTGCATGAGCTAACTCCTCATCATCAGAGTGGAGGGGAAAGAAGTGTTTCTACCATGTTGTACTTGATGGCACTGCAGGAGCTTAATAGATGTCCGTTCAGAGTAGTTGATGAAATCAATCAGGTACAGTACGGATTCTTTTAGGGGAAGTATGCTGCGCTCTCTAGTAGATATACAAATGTAACCATTATTGTCATTGTGGTTTTAGGGTATGGACCCAATCAATGAACGAAGAGTGTTTGAAATGGTTGTGAACACTGCCTGTAAAGAGAACACATCTCAGTACTTCTTCATCACACCAAAGGTGAGTAGTGAGTAAACTCATAGAAGGCTTGTGCTCACCTGTCCCCTTTGGCTCAGTTGTGGAACAGATTGGAGCTAAGATGTGAATTTGAGCAGGAATACCCCCCAAAAAGGAGCTAAAAAGATTATAGTAATCTTTACATTCATAGAGGAGACACATTACAGTGACATACTTCATCTGAGGAAGCAGTGGAGGGGCTTCATTCTGTTCTAGAACTTTGGTCTCTTTGCTTTTGATGCTCACTCCCCTTCCAGAAAGGCCTCTCTCTTTTGCTGAGAGATGACTGGGCATGCAGACCCTGAACTCTAGTCCTCACTGTCATGTCACATGCTGCCCCGTCCGTGTTTCCCACTGCCACTACCTTAGCCCGAAAGAGTCCAAATACCCAAGGTCGTGGACGGACAAATCAGCTTTATAACAGCATAGTTCTATTCATAGAGAATTCCCATAATCTAGAACTGCTGCAGTCAGAAATATCCTTTTGTTGAATCTAGTGCCGTGGCTAAGTTACCAAGTAAATGTACTCAAAGATGTGTTCATTATTAACTATACTTTTTCTTTTTTCAACTAAATATTCATAAATATCTCATTGGAAAGCCCACCTAATTGTGCATTCTTTTTGTACTTAATCATCTTCTTTATGTGAGCTAGACAGATCTGCCCCTATTCTATTTCTTACCAAACTCCTTGGCTTAGAAACCAAACCTCCCTCACACGTTTCATACTACCAGTCTGTCACAGTGCTTAGCCATAGACATTGTTGGAGAAGTATTTTGTATGGAAGTGAAAGTGATGTGGTCCTTGTTGATTGGTGAATACAGAGGATTCCCAGGCAACTGGAATATTCTAGGTCAGTTATTAGGCCAGTTATGCTCATTCAGGAAGCTGTCATAGTCTGGCAAGTTGATGTATTTGAACATATGTAAGGCTGGAAAACTGTCTTTCTCAGTATATAATTTAATTATGTGACAATTTGTTTCAATCCTTACAGCTTCTACAAAATCTTCCTTATTCTGAAAAAATGACAGTATTGTTTGTCTACAATGGCCCACATATGTTGGAACCAAACCGATGGAACTTAAAGGCTTTTCAAAGGCGGCGGCGAAGGATTACCTTCACTCAACCTTCTCAGTGAAAGAAAAGGGAGGGGACTTCAGAGGTTTTTCTTTTAACTGTTTATACGTGTGGCTCAAGTGAATAAAAGTTAGCAGATTTATTGAAAGAGAAAGATTGGTTATTTTTGGAAACCTGCATTTAAAAACAAATAGGTTTGAAATGGAGACCACAGTGACTCTGGAACATTTTCTAGTGAAAATTAAGTCTTCGGTTTGGTTGAACTTGACTTTTTAGTCCTCTGTGAGCACTGGATTGTATGTAACAATGTATACTGTCCACAGGTCTGGTGGCTCACATCTAATCCAGCACTTGGGAAGTGGAGGCAGGAAGATCATGAGTTTGAGGCAAATCTGGACTGCAAAGTGAGATCCAATCCATGTAGGCTGTAGAGTGGGATCGTGTGTCATAACAAAAAAGCTATTTCCTGTTGCAAATCGGAAGTATGATAGAATGGGGATTTCATTTACAAAGCATTTACTAAGTGTGGCAGCTCTGAGTACTGATTACAAGAGAACTTTGACTTTCAGAGCTTAAAGGCAACTCAGAAATCCCACTTTTCTTCCAGTGTTATATTTCATTTTTAAAAGGTAATGTGAGAATGTCTACTTAATGGACAGTAGTTTGTGGCAGATCTGTTCATTTCTTTGTGTTAAAGGTTACCTTATTTTCATAGAAAACATGTTTATGGGCCTTTAAAAGTTTTAGGCAACTTGATACTATAATTTTATTGGTATTTCAAAGAATTGGGAAAACGTACACATGGGGCTTCAAAATGGCCCCAGGATTTGGAGAGGTCACGAGGTAAAGATGTCACAGAGTATGGCCCACACATTGGCAGAATGAAATCAGCTGACAAGGACTCGAAGAACAGCACTGTAAAGGACAAGTTTCGTGCTGGGGTTTCTTGTTCAGTTTTGGGTTTTTGTTTTGTTTTGTTTTTAATTTGAAGTCAAATGTATTTTACATCTTAAATTTCTAAAGGCGTTTTTATAATTACTTTTAGTAAGCTTTTTCTTAAGATTTCATATACGAGTTTTTACAATTTGTATTTGAAATTTCTCAGTGCTATGTAAAGAGTGATGGCAAAGTATTGATTTGTTTAAAATCATAATGTTTTTAGAATTTGTAGGTACTTCCTTACAGTATTGATCAGACCCAGTATTTTAGAAAAATCTCATCTAAATTCTTTTCTTCTAGCCTGAAAAAAGTTAAGTCAGAAACCATTTATTTTTCTTTTGAGTATGCTAATTAACAGTGCCAAACAAATTCTGTTCTTTTAAAAATCTAAATCTTGAAAGAAGATAGAAATGTCTTTGAACAGTAGACTGGACCATATCTCTGCTGGTACTGACAAAGTTATTTTTGACTTGCTAGCCTGAATAAAGTTCAGGTTTGTTTATTTTTGTAATAGCCAGTGAGATTTACATTCTTAGTAGGTTCACAGTAATGGAACATGAGCCTATGTCGTCTCACTTGGACATTTTCTCTTTTAAAAAGTTGTATTTCTTTATAAAACTTGTAAGAGAGTCCTCCCCTCTTAAACTAAGTCTCATACATGTAGTACAAAGATATTTTTAATAACATTTTTACTAGCATGAACAAGTCAAAAAAATTTAAAAACTTGGTGACATATTAGTGAAGAATATTACTAAACATTTGTGTTGTTGCTTGTTTTTTTGACATAATATCTTCACTAATATGTGTTTGATGTAGTTTGGTTTTATCATATCAGTGTAAAAACTGGATTGAAGGTTAAAAACTGAAAAAAAAGGTTGAAGGTTAAACATACTTAAAACTCACATCAGCAATTGCATTTCAGTTTACATATGCCAAAAAATATTCCATATCATGTTTATAAGCATTCAGTGAGCAAAATTAATGTTCTGTTTTATATTGAACTTTGGGCTGGGAAGGATAAATTGTGTATCATTTATCATATTAAAAATAGTCAAGCATAATATGTCATATTTTCTGCAACTGTTGATTTTTTTTAAATTACATTCAAATTGTAAAAATTCCAAGTAAAAGCTTGATTTGATAAATAAAATATTTAAAACCTGAAGGTTACAGATATTTTGGATGACTAAATCTTTACATTGATTGTCAAAGGACAGTCTCTGTTAGAAGGTCTCTCGTTTTAAAAAAAGGGAGAAGGCTGGTGTTTGGTTTTGTTGTAAGATTTATTTTATGTGAATGGTGATTTTTGTCTACATGTATGTCTGTATACCACATGAGTGTCTGGTTCTTGGTAAGGCCAGAAGAGGGCATCAGATCTCCTGAGGGTGGAGTAGAAGACAGTTGTGAGCTGCTATGTGGGTGTTGGGAATAGAAACTGGATCCTCTGGAAGTGGCCAATGCTCTTAACCATGATCCATCGCTCCATCCCCAAAGAGAGATTTCTTGCTGCTTTCCAGTAGCCTTAGACATAAGCCTGTGGCCTTTGAGGGGCATCTTTTCATTCTGGTGCCTGTAAATGTAAGTGATTAAAACTATGTTATAAATACTACTTTGTTGGTAATAAATGCATATTTTCCCATATTTTGTTATCGGTTATTTAAGATGAGAGTTTTTTAATACTTTAAATTTTCTTAAAAGTTGTTTTTGTTTTCAGGATTACAAAAAAAATTTTCAGTGTCTGTTTGAGTGTCTGCCATTTATAATGCAGTGTTTAATAGTCTATTTGTGTTCCAAAAGATAAAAATTTAGTCTTTTGTCCATTTGAGGTGGGATTAGAATCTAATAGCAGTAAACACAGGAAAAGCTTGAAAGCATCCAAAGAAGCCGAGCTAGAAGGCAAGTAGAACTGTTTATGTTGAAACAGTAACTTCTAAAAACATGTACAATCACCAATGTTACCTTACTATTTCTTACATTGAACTGTTACTCAACGCAGCCTTTTAAAATGTATCTTGAATCAGGTTCTTTACCACTTGCTTTCAGTGATTTCCACACTAGCAAGATGAAGACATACCTAATTCACAGTTTTGAGATGACAGTCAGGTCTGTGAGGGAACCTAGCATCATTGTTGGTGCTGTGTAAATCTTTACTTCTGCTGTGTATGAAGTACTGTGTCTGACCTGAAGACAAGATTTGCATAGAGGTTTTTATAGAAAAATTCTTGATCGTGTTAGTTGTTCACAGGATGCAGACAGTGATGGACTTTGCATAACAGATACAAGTATTTCATATACCATATTACTTTCATGAAATCTGAATGTGAATTAGATGACTGAACCTACTTATAGTACTTTGTCTTATTACTTCATAGCCAGCCATATATTTTAGGAAGGCGCATTACTGATAGAATGTGTATATTTTTATATATTTGGGAGATTTGACTGTTGACAATTTGAGCATTTTATCTCCAGTGAAAAAACAATTGAAGGTGTGAAATTTTGTTTTTATTTTTTCATTTTTCTCTTCTTTCTTCCTTTATTGTGGCAAATGTACATAATATAAATTTTTACCATTTTAAAGTATACAGTTCAGTGGCATGAAATACATCTACAATGCTGTGCAATCATCATCCCTGTGCATTATCCATTCACTATAATTCTAACATGACACGTTGTATCTATTCAGACTGACTTTCCATTTCTGCTTTACCCCAGCCCATGGAAAACTCTTCTCATTTGTTTGATTTTTAATGTAACGTGCAGAGTAACTGGTTTCATTGTGATATTTTCATACATATATGTCACTGTACATGTACCTATTCATCCCCCACCCCTTATTTCAATGTATGTGTGCCTGTGTACATATGTGCAGAGGCCAGAGGTTAACCTCAGTTGCAGTCTTCCACATACCCTTCATCATATATTTTGAGAGGATCTCTCAGATCTGGTAAACTCCAGTTTCTCTGATTCAAAGAGGAGAATAAGTGTTTGGATTGCAATCAGTGCTCTTTGCCACCATCCCGAAGAAATAACCTCACCCTATGGCTTACTGAGAGTATCCTCAGATAAAAGAAGACTTGGTAGATATCCCTTTTTGCACTTAGAAATTAGTTATCTCAGTCTTTAAGATTACTTATTTATTTATGGTTTGTTCGGTTGTCTTAGTTTGTTTTAGGGGAGGAAGTTGTCTTTTCTAGTAGAGTATGAAAGTTCTCTGAGGAAAACGAATGTGTTGGTTGCTACCTCTCCAGAGCCTAGAAGAATGCTTCCTATGTAGTAAGCACTCAGTTACCGAAGCCTGAAGGGATATTCTCTCTAGCTAGGTGTGGTGGTGCATGCCTCTTGAATCATCCTTCAAGAACTGAACATTGCCATAAATCTGAGACCATCCAGAGCTACATAGTGAGTTCTCAACCAGCCATAGTTCTGTAGCAAGACCACATCTCAAAAGAATAATGCTCTCTCAGTACTGGAGATTTTTAACGTGGGCCAGTTTATTCTTACATGTACAGTGAGCAGTGCTTTGTACTCTATAGTCTAAGGAATAAAAACTTTTGTATGCCTGTGGTTCCATTCTTACACCATCTAGCATATGTTGTAAAGCCTATTATGTAATCTATCATAAACTGTAAACTCCTAGAACAGAGAGGGCCTGAGGGCTATTGGGGATCTGCAAGACTTCATAAAGTTACAGAGTTGAGGTTCTTTTAGTGAGCCTTTGGAAAAGAAGAAATAGAACATGTAGGAAGGTAGACACAGTGTGTTAATTGGAAGTTGAAAAGTGTTGATATGGTTAACAATAGGCATCAAACTGATCAAAGACTTTAATGAAAAATAGGAATAGACAGTCTTTTAATACATAACCTTTTTTTTTCCTTTTTTTTTTTTTTTTTTTTTTTTTTTTGGAGACAGAGTTTCTCTGTCTAACCTTGACTGTCCTGAAACTCGCTGTATAGACCAGGCTGGCCTTGAACTCACAGAGATTTGCCTGCCTCTGCCTCCCAAGTGTTCGAATTAAATGTGTGTGCCACCACCACCTGCCTTTAATATATACCTTGAATATCTCATTTCTCAGTGAAAACCCATTTCTCAAATTCATCACGTTTATTATGAGCCATTATTTTAATGAAAAACAAAAAAACAAAGCACACACACTTTGACCTTTGTCCTAATAATGATGATGCTAATCAATGAATGGTAGCACTTGTGACAGCTGCTGTTACAGTCTTCGCTTTGTGATTGGAGCACTTAGGTATGAACTATCAGTAGAGCTGACTGACTGTAATTGTAGTTTACCCTAGCATGTAATTTCTGCTTATGCTACAGTATTTAAAGAGAATAGCAAATACAAGAATGGCTAAAGGCACTAGTAAAAATCATTTAAGAAGGTAAAGTAGGTTACTGGGGCTTAATAGTTAATGCAGGATACAAGGCTGGAGAGATGGCTCCTGGATTAAGAGCATTTACTGCTTTTGCAGAAGACCTGGGTTCAGTTCTCAGCACATACATGGAGGCACACAACCTTCTGTAATTCCATTTCTAGGGGATTCATTGCTAACTTCTACAGGCTACTGTGTACATGGGTGCACATATATCAACTCAAGCACATACACACACACACATACATAAAGTAAATATATTTTTTAAAATATGTGTATATATACATATGTATATGTGTGTATATATATATATTTTGTTTGTTTTTTGAGACATTGTTTTTCTGTGTAATAGCCCTGGCTGTCCTGGAACTCTCTTTGTAGGCCAGGCTGACCTCAAACTCACAGAGATCTGCCTGCCTCCGAGTGCTAGGATTAAAGGTGTGTACCACCACCGCCCGGCTTAAATAAATATTTTTCAAATGTAGGATAAGGTTCAGAATTTCATTTTTTGCTTTGGATGGATGGGAGTTGAGATGCCCTCATACAGCCCAGGCTGACCTCAAACTTTAGTATGTAGTAGCCAAGGCAGCCTTCAATTTCTAATCTTCCTTTATCTCCCAAATACTGGGAGATTGAATTCAGGAAGATTCACTTGACTGGGATGATTTGGATGGTGAGCAGAGTGTGAGAAAAGCAATGGAAACAGGAGAAATAATACTAACACTGAGATGCTTGCTGTATCAAGAATAGAAGTGATGGGGAAAGTATAGGAGTTATTTGTATATAAAATAGTCAGCTTTGGTCTATCATTTGCTTAATGATTAATTGGTCTTTTAACATCTCATTTGATTTTCATAGAGGTTCTGATGTGTGTGTTCTTTTCAACGAGAAAGAAGCCTTAGAAAGATCATACTGACTTGCCAAGTTTAAACTGTGGTACATGTTGGTATTGAGACTCAGAGACAGGTAGTGTCCTGGAAAGAGTACAGGGAATGACAGCTCAGGAGGGTGGCAAGCTCACAGTGAAAAATACACAGACATTGTTGGTGACCGGGTTATGATACCTGTGTATTGTGAGCAGCTTAGCAATGTGTTTAAGTGAGAATCCCCTTTGACTTAGCAAACCCACTTAGAGGAATTCATACTTACTGTGTATATCCTCTCACATGTATTTCTAGACGTGTGAAGATACCAAATTTTGTATTATTTCAAACAGCTATATATGGAGAACTAATTAATTATGATGCATACAATCACTTAAGAGAATATAATTCTTAAAAAGAGGATGCTCTTTATAGCCTGATGTGGTCAGATCTCCACATGGTAAAATAAAAAGAGCAAAGTGCAGATCTGTGTTTGGTTTTATTTTTCACACACTTACATAGAGCACGGTTTTCTGTCTCTAAGGAAACAACAGAAGTTGTCTCTGGGAGAAGTGATCAGGTAAATGAACAGGGAGGGAAACAGGGACAGAACAGGAGGATTTGGGGTTTTGTTTGTTTTATTGTGTGTGTTTTGCCTTCATGTGTGTATGTGTAACATGTGCATGCCTGGTGCCAGTGTAGGTCAGAAGAGGCTATTCGATCCCCTGAAACTGGAGTAACAGGTGGTTGTTCACTGCCATGTGGGTGCTGGGAAGCAAACCCAGGTCCTCTGTAAGAGCAATGTGCTGCTCGTACCCACTGAGTCATTTCCCAGCCAATGGTCTCATTGTGTGGCCCAAACTAGACTCTCTAACCTCAGTTTTTTGTTTTTTGTTTTTTTTGTTTTTTGTTTTTTTTTTTTGGTTTTTTTTTTTTGGTTTTTTTTTTTTTTTTTTTGGTTTTTCGAGACAGGGTTTCTCTGTGTAGCTTTTGCGCCTTTCCTGTTTTTTGTTTTTTATAGAAAAGAGCATGAGTTTTGGAGTCAGGGTTGATTATTTTATTTAACTATTTGTGTGGCCATTGGCTAGGACCTTTGCTTATATAAGCATACCTCTACCACTAAGCTATATACACTCTTGTTGTAGTTTAAGTCTAGAATATACTTCAGAGGCCCATGTATGAAAGGTGTGGTTCCCCAACCCATAACCCTCTTGGAAAAGGATGGAATTCCCTCCTAGGAGGTGGGGCTAGTGGGAGGAAGTTAGGTCACTGAGGACATACCACTTATAAACATATTAAGACTCTAGACTCTCTCTTAATGCTTATCCACGTCCTTAAACACTTTTTTCTGCCATGGAATACTGCCCTGCATATGCTTAAAAGCAACACACCAGCCAGC